AGATACGTAAAACGCTCCACAACTTCCAGTGCCTCTCTCTGGATTGTAAGGGGCGTGTTCAGTGACTGCACGTCCACAAGCATGACCTTACACTTTGTGGGTGCAAAGTGCATACCAAAGGACGGGATGACTTTGGTCAGTTCATCCAAGAATACTTGCGCCTTCTCCGCCTCTTCGAACGATGTCGTCTGCATATTCCAGATCGACAAGGTTTTCTTCACAGGCCATTTGAACACCAGGGTTTTGGAGACCCTCCAGCGTTCGTCTCATTATTTCATCGATCACAAAGTTAAAAAGGAATGGAGAGAGCGGGCATCCCTGACGGACATTGCTTTGTGTGCGGAAGCTTTTGGAGAGCTCTCCGTGCACTCACACGTCCGGAAGTCTGAGAATACAGAGAACGTATTATGTTTACAAACTTCCGGGGCATTCCTTGGTGGGCAAGCGTCTCAAGAAGAACAGACCGATCAACCGAGTCGAATGCGTCTCGGAAATCCAGGGATATCAGGGATGCATCGATCCTAAAAGTTCTTGCCAGCTAGCCCAGAAGCAGTCCAGATAGTTGACGGAACTCCAAGAGGCTCGAATAGAGTCAAGTAAACTCAGCAACCAACAGTGAAAAAACTTTTGGACTGACTCGGATGGAAACTGGCTATGAGTATACCATCAACAGCGCACTGATGAAATCTTCTCGGTTGCTGACGAAACCTTTGCAACTTTGTCAAACTTGCAACGTTTGACAAGCTCAGCAAACGCAGCAATAACTAGCTGAGCAACACTCAACCGTTCATTGGGTTGTTGACAGATGTTCACTTTGGAAGATCATATTTTCTTTCTAATCGACCCGGGATTTCAGAGGTACTTTTATTAGTTTCGTCACAAAAGCTTATTTTTAAATTAAAAGGCGCATTATATTTGGTCAAGGAATAGCGTAGACCACCAAACTCAAGAAATCTCAATGGTCAAGGCGTGAAAGTAGTGGCCAGAATGTCCGTGGTTCCAACTCAATCCGGGCGTCTCAGCTGATCCTGTCTAAGATTGGACAGCCCGGCTGTATCCCAGGCCTCATGGAATAACACGACCAGTTAGCACCTGAAATGTATTACAGCTGAATACTTATCATTATCATTAATAATTTTACTGTTACCATGATAATTATTTTCACCTAAGTCGTAGCCTCATGGACAGAGATTTAAGTAGTAAGTGAACATAAAAGTTCGCTTATACTACTTTTTCCAAACAATTTTGCATTTTTAAAGGCGAAAAAGACCTACAGACCCACAGTGGGGCATCCCATGAAAACGCTGTCTACCACCCTAAACTAAGGGGGATGTTCCAAATTTATTACGACGGACTTCTGGCACTGATAACATTCCAAGAACTGCCTCAATTCTGTGTTAATTTTGAGTCAAACGCGTTAAGCCATTCAAGAGCAGTAAAAAAACTTTCCCTAGCTGACGCGCATACAGAATTCATTGACTAAATGCAGCGAATTTGATTGTGTCCGTCATAGAAAGGGATCTCAGTCTGTGTAGGTAGCCAACTTTGACTAACTTGAGAACTCAGCGACTGAAAACAAAGGAGTAAGGTTCCTGTCAGGGAATAAAATACTTGAGAGGAGACAGGTGTTGGTGATTCAGGCTTTTAACGGGCATCAAAGGCCATCTATACGCAGTCCCAGGTAATTAGCGAAGTTCGCATATTAACCTTATGAGTAGTGTGTTACGTCTATAATCCCATGGAGGAATTGGACTTCGTCCAATCAGAAAAGAACCACAGGTGCTCTTTTCTTATCTGACAAACTTATCACTTTATTGCAGCCAACATTACCACAAAATGCACTACATGCAACCGCTACTTGGTAGCCCCACTATGACCAGAGCCGGTGGCGGGATTCGAACCTGTGAGCTGCAGCATG